CGACTGCACGCACGGACAGGTCTCCCGACAGGGCAGGCCCATGTGGCTAGCAACCAATACAATGGAACCCATAGTGGTCGAAAAAATGTTGCGCTCTACAAAGTTTGAACCCAAAACAGATAGCTACAAAGAAGTACTGCTAGCTAGTTGACCTACAAAGCTAGCTGGTTTTATACTGCAGTGCAAATTTTTAAGAATCAAACCCAGCGCCGATCCAAACGTTTTAAAAAAATTGAACGCAAAATTTATTTTGAGAAAAAGCGTGAGTGTTGTATGAAACCGTGAACACTTTTTGAAATTGTGAATAAATTTGAAAAAACTAAAATATTTCAAAAATGCGACCATTTTAGAAGCGGGAACCGAAAAATGTTCATGTTTCTTTTTTTTTGGGGGGGGGGGGGAGTTAAAAACTGGATCATTCTTCAATTTCCAAAACATTTCTGGACATGCAAACATTTTGAAGAATGGGAATACTTTTCTAAACTACCGAAAAAAATTCAAAGTCATGAACACTTTTTATAACTGGCAAACATTTTTGGGAAGCCCCAAACAAAATTTGAAACACGAACATTTTTTAAATTTTCGAACAATTTATGGAAAAAAATTAAACTGCTGAACAGAACTGAAAACACGAAGATGTTTTTAAAAATTTGCAAACAAATTTAGAAACTGTAGCGCATGCATAATCTCGTAGTTGAGCCGGCCCATCTCCGTGCCTAGGTCGCTCGCCTCTGTGAGAAGCAGCGACAACTTGACGCCACGAGCGTATATTAGAAAATTCCCTAGACAACGCATGTGAGTGTCACATAGTAGAGGCCACGCCTGCATGCAATGCAAATGGACCAAACCCACTCTGGCACAAAAGTGATCTTTTACCCTCTTTGATGTTATAGTCCAGAGTTTTCCCTAAAAAAGAAGATGTTATAGTCGATTTTTTCTTTAAAATTTAAAAACCAATTTAAAAATAGAAAATATATATCTGTAAAAAAATTCAGTGCTAGTCTAAAAAAGTTTGGTGTATACTAAAAATATGTTTATCATATATTAAAGAAGTTCACCATATATTAGATTTTTTTGGTGTGTATTAAATAAAGTTTAGTGACTACCAAAAATCACTATATATTAAAATAAATCATTTTATATTGCATAACTGTTTACTGTATACTAATACAATGTCCATGGTATTTTTAAAAATATTCAATGTGTATTTATAAAACATTCAACATATATTACAAGAAAGTTCACTCTATTAAAAAGTGTTCACCATATGCAAAGAAAATCACCATACATTAATAAAAATAAAAGGATATAAAAACGTAAAAAATCCTGAAAATAACCAAAATACCCTATAAAGTGAAACAAAGAAAAAAAAACAAATGAACAGAAAAAGGAAGCAGCAAACTGGGCTGGCCAACCTACGGTCAAAGCCACGCCTATTTGCCCCCTCGGGTGGCATACAGGATCTGCCGTTGGAGATTGTGTTAGAGCATCTCCAATAGTTCGTGTATTGATAAAATAAGGACCATATAGGTGAAGTCGGGCCCAAAAAAATTCCAACAGTTTCTATAAATGCGCAAAAAATTACAAGATCCCGTAAATTCTCTTGAACTTCCCTCCATCTATGAAAAGCCGCCATCCGCTGTTATGTAGTAGCTTTTTACATGAGCTATTGGAGACGCTCTTAGTACCTCTAAGCGCCTTGCATTGAAACGGCTTAACCGGTGGTCTTCGATCAGGTGCACCAGGTGAGCGAGTAATCGTTGATGGACTCTCTACACGTTGTAGATGGTGACGCTACGACAGAAGAAGGTAGAATGACACAAAAGTTCATTGCAGATGCTGATAAAAGGAAAGTATAAATTGTACATCAAATGAAATCTAGAAGGAATAAGAGGAGAGGGATTTATACAAACACTTACTCTTACTCTTTGGTTTGTTGCACAAAACACCACATATTGATATAGTTGTAGGTAGCTCTAATCCACCATTTGATCATGTTGACATGATTTGTAAGAGCATCTCCAGCCGCGCCCCCAGAACGGCCTTCCCAGGCGTTTTCTTTTCGCCGGCGTCGAAAAATCGGCCCAGCCGCGCCAGGAGCCCGTTTTTCACCGGCTTGGGCCGAAATCAGCACCGGCGTACCCAGACCGAACCCGAAGCGTCGGGTGGCGCCCGGGGGCGTCGGGGCGAGCGTTTTTGGCGCGAAGCAGTCACGGGCCCGCCGCGTCAGCGAGACGGCTGCTTCGTCGACCCCATCGCTTCGGTTCCCGCGGGAATCAATGCGAAGGATGCCGGGCTGCCGCGCTGCCGCGCCGGTCAGCCTCCATTGATGCTCACGGGTGGTGCAGTGAAGACACCGCCGACGCGCGTCCGCCCGCATGCCGCCCACCGTCACCCCCGCTCCGGCTATAAAAAGGCATCCCTCCCCGCCGGTGAGCACCACACCCCTCCCCCTCTCCATCCCGCGAAAGCCTTCTTCCTGCCGACGAGCTATCCCCCACTGCCTTCCACCGCCGATGAGCGAAATAGCCGAGAGATACCCAGGCGACGGCGCAGCGGCGAACGGCTTCGGCCGCCGACACCTCCAGGAGCCGGAGGCGCGCCTTCTGTACGAGGCAGAGTACCCGGTGCCGCCCGACATGCGCGTGCCGGGGGCGTGGAGGTTGAGCGCCGCCGGCGTCCCGGTGCCGCTCGTCCCCGAAGGAGCCGCACGGCGGGCGGAGATCGCCCGCATACGCTCGTCGCTGACGGAGGAGCAGCGGAACGAGCCGAGGTACGCCCCCGACAGCGAAACGCTGTGGACGCTGTACTTTCAGGCCCGCCGCGAGGAGCAGATCGCCCCCACCAACGGCGTCATCCCCCGCTGCCGCCTCAACTCTGAAGGACGGCGCGAGTGGTGGGGCGTCCCCGGTCGCACACTCGACGCCTTTCTCGACCACATCGACACCGGCAATGTGCCGCGGCTGGAGTACCCGGCGCGCCCCTCCTTCCCTCGCCGCCGCGGTAGCTCCTGGATACCACAGCGAATGGAGCCGGGGTCGTCCTCCTCGTCGGGCTCGCCCCGTCAAGCCCAAGCTGGAGGAGACGCCGCTCGGGCGTCGCGTGCGGAGCGGCACCCTCGTCATCAACGAGCCGTCGCCCGTGACGGCACCGACAAGGCGCTCCCTTCGCCTTGTCCGGCCGAAGCCCGAGCCGGACACGGCCCCCGTGAAGCCGGAGCACGCCGGCATGGTGGCCCCCGACGACGAGTCCGCCCTCAAATGGGCGAGGGAGGACTACGTCCGCGAGCAGGTGCGCCAACAGCGTCGGGCTTACCTGAAGACCCAGGCCCGCAGCCGCGCCGAGGCCCGTCGCCGCGCCGAGGAAGGTGGCATTATCGTCATCGACAGCGACGACGAGGTCAAGGCCGGGCCGTCATGCGCCGTCGGTGACCCAGGCGAGGGGTGTAGCAGGGACGCCGCGGGCGAGGCGCGCGACGACGACGACGTCGGCGACTACACCCGCTTCTACAGGCTTCTCGGCATGTAGAAGGCGGCGGTGGCGACGGCAGCGGCACTAGCTAGGCGTTTTAAGTTCGTTTTTATGTTAGTTCACGCATGTTTTACGCTTTTGTATAAATTTGGACGAAAAATGGTAGAGTTCATGCAAAAGTCGCCCAGTTTGAAAAAAAAAACAAGGCGAACTTCCGAACCCGCGGCGACCGTGGGCGTGCGACTGAAAACGAACCAAACCCCAGGGGCCGAACTAGCGCCGGCTCACTCACAGGCCGCTATTTTTCGGCGCCCTGGGGGGCCGAACGGCTGGAGATGCTCTAATAGGTGGGTCTTGTTTGTATGTGCACACATGGCCAAAAAACATGCCACGTCAGTCAGCTCTGGCTAACTAAACTTAGTATCTCTCTAAAAAATGAGTTAATTTTCCGGAATCAATACAGACGAGAACGTTTGGTTCCTGGTGTATATACACCCTATATGAATAAATAAATTAGCAATTCAACAAAAAGTCAAAAAATCTGAAAATATTTTTAAAATAAACTTGACCTTCTATTATACCTGTGAGAAAAATTCCACAAAAAGAAAATAACCATTCGACTTCTTTTTAAAAAGACAAATTTTCGGTCAAAATAGTGAGTAGTGAGCTATAATAGGAAATAAATTTTGTCTTTTTTCCCTGAAGTCAATGTTGGGTTTTTTTTCATGAAAATTTATAAACCAGTGCAAAACAAAATCAAGTTTAATCTAAAAATACTTTTGAACTATCTTGACTTTTTGTTTAATTATTAAAAAAATCCCTATATAGGATGTATATACAACCAGGAACCAAAGTGTATTTCCGAAATCAATACTCGGTATATATATGTTTATATAAAAAAATCCTACTCTTTGAACGTTCGGATTAAAATAACCTTTGCTTTGGAAAGCAGGACCACGTACTGAACATGGATCATTAGTCAGTTAGTTTTTTTAAACAAAAGGACTTGGCAAAGTAACAAGACGATCAGCATGCTGTCTTCAAGAGACAAAGCAAGTTTCTGATTTAGAGGTTGATACCATTAACAAAATTTTAGCCTGCTAGTCGTTACTGATAATAACAGCATGTTCATATCATAAAAGTAACAGATGAGTAAACAAGCTCCCAGAGCAAACAGTTTCCAACAAGCAAAGCGGCCATAATAGCACTGGAAGAACATTTCACTCGTCCTCCTGGCTGCGAAGCCTAGCAAGCTTGTTTGTGACAACAATATCCAGCTGTGCAGCACGCTCCACAATGTCCTTCCGCTTCTTGGTAGAGACGTTGTGGGCGATCTCAGCACAGTATGTCCTGTTGGCAATAAAAGCAATGCAAGAGTTAATCTGAAAATAAAGAACGTTATTCTCTAAAAAAAATGTTGACACCAATCAGCACAGTTCAGGATCAGAAGAGTGAAGAACCATCTAACTTGAGAACATCAGGTTCTTGACACCAATCAGCACTTCATATTGACAGTGTAACTGTGTAAGTTACCTGTTGTGCATCATAAGCAGCTCCAGCTCGGAGACATTGTGGACAACAAACTTCTTGAACTTGTTTGGCAGGTAATGCCTGGTCTTCTTGTCAGAACCATAGCCAATGTTGGGCATCAAAGTACATCCCTTGAACTTTCTCCTCACCCGGGAATCAATACCCTTTGGCCTGCGCCAGCTGGTCTGTAGATATAGAGGCGTGAAATTTTCGGTTTAAGCACAAGATAAGCTGTTAAGCACACGTGTCACTAAGAAAAACATGTCAAGAAGACACAGAACTTGAGCATATAAGAAAGACAAAAGAAGTTTAGCATACGCTTCTGCTTATGTGTTGTCTAAAGCACGATGCCAGTCGGGAATAAGCTACAACTACAAGAAACTATACATTCAATTTTTAAGGTATTCGTTCCAAATTATAAGATGTTCTAATTTTTTTTCTGATTACATCACTACACCACTTTTTTATGTCAGTAAAATTATGAAAGTAAAAACATAGTATAAAGTGTACATATAAATGTAAATTTTGTGTTTTTATGATTCATATCTTACTTTTCTTATACCCTTTTTTGTGTGGTGAATCAATATAAACGTAATTATTCGTATACCAAACATAAAATTTAAACATAATAACTTAAAAAAAACTCGGGTGTAAAATAACTTATTCTACACGTTTCGGTGTGTTTGTTCACACATTAGTCCATATGTAGTCCATATTGAAATATATAAAACATCTTATAATTCAGAATGGAGGGAGTATGTTTTGAAAAAGAGCACTCCATGCAAACAACGGATTTTTTAAGATGTTGAGTGTAGCAAAACAGATGCTCTTGAAACATCACTTCTTTGGCAGGTGCACTTGCTACCACAGATTCATTGAACAAAAAAGTTATACGAGAAGTTAAATGCAGAAGAAAAAAAATGGACTACAGCCACCAATTAAGTATAACCGGGAAAGAATTCGTTTGCTGGAAGGATCAGACAGAAGGCATAATCATGTGAAAGACAAGATTTTCTTCAGCAACCAGTGGATAACAAGTGTTGGGAGAAATCTAGGCAAGCACTCATACTCATAATGAAGCCACGCCTTTAATATCCAACCCACTTCATGAAAATCATGAAGTTATTGTTGTAGAAGAGTTTGCGACGGCCACAATGCTATACTCATGCAAGGGCTAGTGTGCTCTCTTACTTCATCCCAATGCTCACTGAAGAAAACGTTCTCTTCCTCAGACCTTTTACTAAGACATCATTTCCTTCCTTTCAAACCGCTAGATAGAAACAGTAACCAAAAGAACAGCAAAGCTCAAAATTCGGCATCACCTTTGCACCAAGTGTTCAAATGATGTGTCAAGTCCAAATAAGCAAGGTTGATTAAACATGCAATAATTAGTTTTCTCCTTCAAATTAACTACGGATCCCAACACAAAAGAAACAGCAACACATTTCTACAGGCTATGCCTTCCACTTTCCTACCACTTCGAAGAACCATTGCTAGTATAAATTAGGAATACACCGCAACCACAACGACCAACAACAGTCACGCTTAGAACTTAGCATCAGACACTACACGGAAAGGCAAACCAACTACACCGGCGCACAGCAATCGCGATCTAGAACCGGAACACATCATCTGAACTGAACAACCAAAACACGTGGGCGTGGTACCTACGAAATCCACTGGGTAAAAGTTTGGTATAAGTGGTTACCTTGAGGCCAATGTAGCGGTCGCTATGGGCCCTCTTGAAGTGCTTGACCCTCTTCTTCACGATCTTCCTCGTCAGAAGCGGCACCGCCATCTCTGATCTGCCGGGCAAAACCAAAAGAAGGAGTTTGAAGCAAATGGAGAAAATAGCATCGCAAGAGGACAGGGTGGGAGCTCTGCTACGGACTGCTTGCCGGGGTACCTGAGAAGGACGACCCTCTAACACGAAGCGAGGAGGAAGAAGAACGGCGGCGGCGGCAGGGTTCTATTTGCAAGGCGGTGCGGTCTTTATGCCTTCCGCGAACCCTAGGTATGTGGGCTATGATGGGCCACTAAGACTAGCCCACTACGAGAAAGATGCACTCTTGTTTTTCGGCCGACGCTAGACGGCAGGCGCGAAATCACTAGTTAATACTCCCTCCGTTTCCAAATAATTGTCTTTCTAGCCATCTCAAATGGACTATAACATACAGATGTATGTAGACATGTTTTAGAGTGTAGATTCACTCATTTTGCTCCATATGTAGTCACTTGTTGAAATCTCTAGAAAGACAATTATTTAGGAACGGAGGGAGTAGTTAAGGAGTACTTTTCGTGGAGATCACTCCAACTTCTGCGGGTTGCGACAAGTGGCTTGTCGCAACCTGGGAATTTTTTCTTTTTTTTTAGATTCGTTTATTCAAAATGTTTTATCTCTTAAACCGTGCGTCCAAATCTCGAACCGCTTTCGCCATTGGATTCCTCGCATCGAGATCTTCAAAACTAGATCCCATGTTGATAGATTTTGACGAACTTTTTTTCACGAAAAAACCGGACAAAAAAACGAACCAGGAACACGGGTTTTCCCCCCTTTCCGAAAGAGGCACGCTCGTGCCTTTGACGAAATCACAACCATGCCTCTCGCGGAAGCAAAACCATGCCTCTCGCGAAAGAAAAAACAAACAGAAAACGCCTTTTTTTCCTTTCCGAAAGAGGCACACCCGTGCCTCTCGCGAAAGCACAACCGTGCCTCTCGTGAAAGAAAAAAAATAGAAAACGTGTTTTTTTTTCGTTTTCGAGGAGGCACGGCCGTGACTCTCGTGAAAGCATAACCGAGCCTCTCGCGGAAGCAAAACCATGCCTCTCGCGAAAGGAAAAAAAACAGAAAACACGTTTTTGTCGTTTCCAAGAGGCATGGCCGTGCCTCTCGCGAAGGCACAACCGTGCCTCTCGAGAAAACAAAACCGTGACTCTCGCGGGAAAAAATGCGTTTTTTTGCGCAAAAAAAGTTTTTTCCCGAATTTTTTTTGATCGAAAAGCTAGGGAAGACCGGTGGAAAACCAAAACGTAAAAAAAACGTTTAAAACGCCGAAAACGCGTGTGGAAAAATAAAAAAACAAAATCTGGAGGGAGTGCCCACCCAGCCAGGGGCTGATGCCTTCCCACCCACCCAGGTTCAAGGCATGGTACTTGCAATTTGGGTTTGTTGCACCAATTATACTGTAAGGGGTTCCCTTACAGTCTTTCTATCAAAAAAAATCTGGAGGGAGCGCCCAGAGCGCGACACGTGGAGAATGGATGAGAGCGCGCCAAGTGACACTGATCGTTGCGAGGCTCGCAAAGGAGCTCGTTAATTAGTTGCTACCGATAGGCAGCTCTCTATCCGATGAAAGTCGTGAACCGTCAGATCTTGTGTCCTCTTCCTTTCCCTTCCTTATCCTTCTTCCCCGCAAGCACAAGGAAACAAAAAAGCAACGAGCGTTGCCCACACGACCTCGAAGCTTCGCTGGTTTTCCAATGCTCGTGGCTGCCGTCGCCGTCCATGGGTTGCAGCAGAAAAAACAAAGCAACGCCACTTTGAAATGCAAAACACATGGTTCCGGCAAACAAAAAAGTGGTTGTAGCAAAAATGCTATGATTCCAGTGAAAATACATTGATATGGTTCCAACAAAAAAACACATAGTTCCAACAAAAAATGATATAGCTCCAGCAAAAATGAAAAGAACAATGCAGCAAAAAAATCATGGTGCCGCCATCATAGCCGCCCCAGCACCATCCTTGCCGATTGTAGCAAGTCAAAATGATGATTCCAACAAAAAATCTGTGTAGCAAAAATCATTGCACCCGCCGCCATGCTCATCCGGTACTATCCTCTCCTGTTGCGGCAAATGGAGAAAATGGTTCCAGTAAAAAAAAGACAACAACTTACCACAGCCACCATTATTGCCCGCCATCACCGTCCTCGCAGGTTGAAGCAAATCCCAGCGTTGGTCGAAGCAAATCCCCGTGCCGGTTCCAGCACTGCATTCTCACCGGGGGCCAGCGCGTTCCCTCCGCGCGTTGTCGTCGATCCGAGGACACAAACAGCCTCCGCCGCAGGCCGACCGCTTCACGGTCCGCTCCATGGGCACAGCTCTGTTGGGAAACGTAGCATGCAATTTCAAAAAAAATCCTACGCTCATGTAAGATCTATCTAGGATATGCATAGCAACAAGAGGGGGAGAGTGTGTCCACGTACCCTCGTAGACCGAAAGAGGAAGCGTTTGCTTAACGTGGTTGATGTATGATACGTCTCCAACATATCTATAGTTTTTTATTGTTCCATGCTATTATATTACCAATGTCCAAGCTCAAAATATATAAGTGAAGTTCACGAAGCATTCTATAAAACCATACTCAAACGATTTAAGTGAAGCACAAAGAGCAATTCTATAAGATCATACTTAAAAGATATAAGTGAAGCACATGAAGTATTATATAAATCAATGAAGAGCTATCTCATACTAGCATGATTCTTAAAGAAAAATAAAAACACAAAGGGCACAAACAATGTGAACAAAACAAAAACCGAGGTATACCGATATTTGTTGAAGAAGAAAGATGGGATGCCAACCGGGGCATCCCCAAACTTAGATGCTTGAGTATCCTTTGAAATATTTACTTGGGTGCCTTGGTCATCCCCAAGCTTGAACTCTTGTCTCTCTTTATTCTTCTCACATCGGTAACTCCTCGTTCTTCAAATACTTCATTCACAAAAACTTAAATAAAAACTTGTGAGATCTGTTAGTGTAATAAAGCAAACTACCACTCAAGGTTGTCAGAATCACGATTTTGAATCGTATCGGAGCTCCAATGGTAGGATCGCAAATCGTAGAATCTTCACTATCAGGATCGTAGAAACGTAGATTCTATGAACTAAAGTCGTAGAATCATAGGGGTTAGTTTGGATCGTAAAATCGTAGAATCGTATAACAGAATCGCGATTCTAACAACCTTGTACCACTTTAAGGTACTGTAATTAACTCATTCTTTGTTTATATTGGTGTTAAACCTACTGTATTCCAACTTCTCTATGGTTCATAACTCCACATACTAGCCATAGATGCATCAAAATAAGCAAACAACACACGAAAAACAAAATCTGTTAAGAACAGGACAGTCTGTAGTAATCTGGAAGTTTAGTAAACTTTTGTAACTCCAAACATTATGAAATAAATTTGAAAATTTCAACAATTTGTACAGAAGTAATGTGCAAAAAGTTTCAGACCCATTTTACTTTCCAGTAAAAAATGTAAATTCATGCACTACAGCCAAAGTTTCTGTTTTTGTTCTGCACATAGTAAGCAAGCAATCTTATCAAACTAAAACCAAACCTAGGCACAAAATTTTTATAATACAAAGGATATATACAAGGGAATAATTATTTACAGAGAAACTTCCATGAAAAATTCTACATTGTTTCCGTGAGCATGAACACAAGTGCTCAAGGTCGACCCTCACTTCTTCAATGTATAACTTTCCAATCACTTCTCTTTTTGAAAAATGTTTTTAGGCATGAGAGGCAAGTAAATATTTTTGGTATTTTCATTCTTTTTAATTTTTTTGTATGTTTCACCCACAACTAAACAGGAACAAAAAGGAAAAACAAAATCTACTAAGTAAAGAAAGCAAACAAGCACACACGAGAATATCAACCCCACGCTATTACTCCCCGGCAACGGTGCCAGAAAAGAGCTTGACAATCCCCAAGTGCAGGGAATCATCATAGCAATTCCCAAAGATGGAACTGATAAGTATGGAGTGTCGAACCCACAAGGAGCTAAAGGTAAGATCAATATTCTCTCAAGCCCTATCTGCCATTGATACGACTCTACGTGCACCAATCGTTTGCTTCCAACTAGAAACAAGAAATAAATATGTGTTGTGGGTATAGAGAGGATAACTTTGTATGATATCGGAGAGCTAAAACATAAAAGTAGGTGATGTTATCATAAAGTTAGAATATAATACTAAATAATATAAATAGCGAGTGTGGAATAATGGTGGATCGGTGTGCGAAATTGTCCTAAGCAATTGTTAACAAGATCGATGGTCGTCATTGCAATTTCATATGAGGAAGAGGCATAAACTAACATACTTTTCCTACTTGGATCAATATGCATCTTATGATTGGAACTGTAGCAAGCATCCGCAAATACCAAAGATTCATTAAGGTAAAACCCAACCATAGCATTAAAGCATCAAGTCCCCTTTTATCCCATACGCAACAACCCCCTTACTCGGGTTTAAGCTTCTGCCACTCTAGCAACCCACTATAAGTGAATCATGCACGTATTGCAACACCCTACAATGGGAATCCCTCATGCTTGCCCGAGACGGAGGGCACCATAGGACAGCACCAAAATAAAACATACAACTCGTACCAATCTGGATCATCAATCAACTCAAAGACAAAAGATATCTACTCAAAACATCATAGGATGGCAACACATCATTGGATCATAATATGTAGCATAAAGCACCATGTTCAAGTAGGGATTACAGCGGGGTGCGGGAGAGTGGACCGCGTAAAAGAGATGAGGATGGTGATGATGATGGTGATGTTGATGAAGATGATCACCGCGGCGATGATTCCCCTCACGATGGCACTCCGGTGCCACCAAGAGAGAGGAGGAGAGGTTCTCCCCCTTGTGCTTCCTCCTCCATGGCTTTCCCCCTCTAGTCCATGGCCTTCATGGAGATGATGGCCCCTCCGAGATCCTCCTCCATGTCCTCCGGTGATGATGGCCCCCTTCGGCAGGGTGCGAGAGAGGGCCTAGATTGATTTCTCGTGG